CACCATAGCCATTGTGGCAGAATTTTTATAATTCAGCGAAACACCAAGCACCAAAATTTAGGACAAACTTTTTAGAATTTGGCAGGCACTGAGGTATGTATTGTGTACTGAGACATATCTGATGAACCTTTTAATTAATTGTCGGATTTAACTCCTTTGATACTTGTGCATAGTGAAAAGATAAGAAAATAAAGGGAAGATAAACATACTAAAGATTTTTGGGATTAAAAGGTGAGAATTTACATAATTTCCTTTTCACTGTCCTTCCAAAAATTCTCCCAAAGTTAGGTAATTCATCGCAAATTTCCTATAAAACACATCTATTATGTATTAATAACCATGAACACACTTTTCATTTCGTCACATTTTTCTGGAAATTATATTTCTATAAATCTTTTCATCGAAATAATAATCTATAAATCTTGCCTTTAAACCTTCTAAGGTGCAAGGTCTAAAATCTGAAAGAAAAATTGTCCCTATGAACATGAACTCTGTAAGAGGAAAAAGCCAGAAGAGTTTTTAAATTCAGAAAAGAGAAGATAAAGTGAATTTTCAACAGAAAACTGATACACACATAAATATCCTGAAATAATCACATCTTAACATTAAAAAATATGAAAAAAGAAAAAAAGAAAAATGAAATTAATTTTGAAATAATTACAGTTGAATTTTTGATTTTTCTAAGAAGTGTTTTGTGTTTTGGAAACTGTGCTTTATAGCATTTATTATCTTATTTATTTTTCAGAATCAAATATTTCTAAGTCACCAAAAATGGACAGTAATGTCACTTCAAAATATGGCAGGAGGGGAAAAAATGTTTTATTTTAATTTTATTTCTTAAATATCATTTTCATTTATTATGATTGTTTTTATGATATTTATCAGAGTTATTATGTTTGTAAAAAAAATTGTCAAAATCTCTCAAATCTCTGAATTAAAAATTTTGCATACAAACTGATTTTGAAATCGCCAAAATGTTGATAAGTCTCCAAATTTAGTGCCGTGTAATAAAAGAAATCATACCTTAAAAGATGAATAGTTTTTTTTTTTTTTTTTTTTTTTGTAATATTTTATGAATTTTCATTCACACACACACACACAAAAATAAAAAAAAAAAAAAAGAATTACTTCAAGATGTTTATGTTTCAATTGAAACAGGGTCTACGTATCTAAAACGAGTATCCACCATTTATAATAGGAAGGAAAGAATTCAAACGTTAACCCATCAAATACATATTTGTCAATGCATTGCTAAAAAATATTCCTCCAAAATGTTAATTTACACTCAAAATGGCAGTCCTAAAGAAATAGACAGAAATGTTGGATGAGTAAAATTAAGGACCTTTTGAGGGATTCGGCTGAAATTAAGGACGTTTAAGGAACAAAAATTGTTCCCAAAAACCTTAAAGACTTTTAAGGACCCTGCTCACACCACAGGTTCTGAAGGGCAGGAATTTCAAAGTTTCAGGGGGAATGTAGTTAACATTTTATTTATTTGTTAAGTATTTAATTTTAGTTTATGAATATAAAAAGCTACTTATATTCAAGTTTTGTTACTAATCAACATTTTTTATGCTTTTTATTGTTTGATATATAAAGCATGTTAGAAAATAATCTAAATCCCAAATAAATGTGTATATGCATTCTTCAAGTTTTGGAAAGAAGGCGGATGATCTAGCAATGGTGAAAGGGGTGCCTAGGACAAAAGTGGTCGAGAACCACTGCCTTATACTCTATTACCGTATTTGACGGCATATAAGATGCACCCCTATTTAGAAGGCCACACACAAGGAAAAAAACTTTCAATAGTCCGCACGACAGCACAGTACCACAATAACTTAAAATGTGGTTTCTTTTAGTTCTTACGTTTTGTAAAAGCCAAATAAACAATCATTGAAGGCAATTACCAAACATATTTTTATTAAGCAAAATTAACAAATGGCAAACTATTTTGAACATGATATGTAAATTTCAATAATGAATAAATGAATGAACGGAAAGCAATCAAACACATACCGTAATTTCCGGAAGAAAACGCCGAGACGTTTACGTGTTTAAAACTTAAATTTTCAGCGGGTGCGGCGTTTAGGTGCACTAAAAAATAAAATATTTCCTATGGTGGTCATTGTACATAGTTTGGATGGCCTTGTCATTGTGCATAGACTGGTGCTGTTCCCACACAAAAGACCACTCAGTTTCTTTTTGCGAACGTTATTTTGTTTACATTCCTTCCCTTGAACGGACCTACATGCCTTATTCACCCTAAACGAGATCTCAGAACAATAACATTCTTCCCCCTTTCAAATCAACATTCTCATCAGTTTGAATAGTCTCTCTCCTCTGTCATTCGATGAATCTTCCAGGACCCACCTCTCCCCACCCCTGCCTTTTCTGCAATTTTTTTCAAAGGTGTACACGACTCCACCTACCTCGCAATAACGAACTCTGACGTATTTCCCCTTCAGCATGAATGGATTTTTATTGGCATTCTGCGAAATACAGATCCCATCAGTTTGGGTACAAGTACTTGTTGAATAATTTTTAAGTAAGAAGGGAGCGGAAAATTTTTGAAAATGTCTCTAAATCGTACAGAAGCTATACATTTCTTACCTTTAACTTTTTTGAGACCAAATTTAGGAAAAAAAGTACATCTTATATTATAAGTATTTACGGTAGTTATATCTGAAATTTTGACATATTGTCATGGTCATTAATAAATAAAATAAAATGTGATATATTTTCTTAATACAAATTAACACTGATGTATAGAAAATACTTAATTGCTATGCCATACTCACCTCCAATACGTTCACATTTCCCGCCATTTTTCTCAAGTACGGCATTTACGCTGATGCAGCCTTTCTTCCGGAAATCACGGTAATACAAAATAAAGCAGAAACAACAAAAAACACACATTCAAGGAAAACGTTCCTTATCGTGAAATTAGACTTTAATCACTTTCAAAACCATAAAAATCCTTTTCACTATCATCATCATCGAAAACGAGAATATCGTCATCACTACTGTTTCCGTCATCGCTAGTATCACCTTCTTCGAATAATGCGTCGTCTTCTGCACAACATGTTAGAACTATCGTATATCAGGTTTTTCATGACCTGTGGTTTTTATGGTTATTGATTTAGACCCTTTAAAAACTCACAGTCTTGTTGGATGGTACATCAAATGTGAATGGAATTTCATCCATATTTCCTATTTGACCGAGCTCAAAAGAAGTTTTCTTGCATGCATTCATAACAAACCTATGAAATGCTAGTATTTTTTCTTCAGAATCTGCTGTCATTTTCTGTGCAATAGTTGTTTTTGTGCGCATTGATAAGCCTTGTCTTTTCATGAACCTGAAGCACTAGCCCTCAGACCCTGAAAAGTTCTGATTCTGCAAACCATGTTTTTCTGCAAATCCTTTGTCCTCATTGATTATCATTTTAGTTGAAACACTTATCCCAGATTTCCTCTTATCTATCTCCAACATTCTTTTACAGCATTTTTAAGTTCAGGCCAAGATGGAGCTGGGCATCGAAGGTTATGTTTTTGTTTTTTAGCAGTCTTCAGTTGATCTTCTTGAAAAAATGATACGTACTTGCAGTCGCCAAGTACGTATCATTTTTTCAGTAGGTGGTGGACCGAAATGCCTTGCTGCTGCTCTGTTTCCATGTACTTTGGTGTAGTTTAACACTCCTAGTTTATCTCTTGTATAGCTTAATCTCTTGTTTCCTATAGTCATATTTTCCAGGGTATTTTTTTAAAACAAATAGTTTTAAGCACCGATACCAACACGTTAATTCTGAGTAGCACCGATACCGACACGTGTGTCAGCTGAGTCAAAGAAAGTCTATGTAAAGAAGGAAAGGCTCCATAGACGTAATGTGACCGTCGAATCTGTTTGAACTTTGACCGTCGACATCAGCTTCGAGCTATGGCGCATTTTGGCAACAAATATTTCACGCATGCGCAAAATAATTATGGCAGATGTAGAAAAAGTTATGTGTGTCTAGACCTTTATGCGGGCTAAAAATAGCATTCAGTATTGAAAGTTAATCTGTGTCCTTCACGTATAAGATGCAGGTAACTTTTTTGAGACCAAATTTAGGAAAAAAGGTACATCTTATATGCCGTCATTTACGGTAGTTATATCTGAAATTTTGACATATTGTCATGGTCATTAATAAATGAAATAAAATGTGATATATTTTCTTAATACAAATTAACACTGATGTATAGAAAATACTTAATTGCTATGCCATACTCACCTCCAATACATTCACATACTAATGCATTAAAAATAACAAAACATAATTTTCTAATACTTCTTCAGTACACAGTAGCCAATTTGTATTTGTTTCTTCAAGATCAGGGTTAGGAAGGATAGGAAATTCTGAAATTTATATACATATACGCACATACACACATTAAGATTTCTATTAGTTGAACTAAACATTAAAATGCAGAATTCAAAATTAACATTTTTTTTTTTTTTTTCTTCTTTTCAATTAGGTCAAACTTTTGATTACTCCCTTTTTATTTTATTTATTTGTTTATTTATTGTTTGCTTGTTCTGTTTGTTTATTTGCTTTTCTTGCTTCCTTCAGTTTCAACTTATGAAAGGTCGCTGCATGTATTCTTTGACAAGCATCCAAAGTTTAAATTTTTTTAATCCAAGAACTCCTCCCTTACTAACACTGAAAACATGGATTTTGGCACAGAGTTACATCATGGTTTTTATAATGCACCACTTCATAAAATTACAATGTACCAAACAACATAAATTAAAAACTCGAAAAAAAAAATTTAGTAAAATAAAGCAAAACAGTAAAATTTAGCATAAGTAGAAATTTGCAGTAAGCATTTTTTTGCACATTCATCACTTTACTGAAATTTTAATACAATATAGTTATACTATAGTTATATATCACAGGACCATCCAAATTCTCAAAACTGATTTTTAAAAACAGATTAAAAATCTGTATACAAATTTTACTTACTTCTATTTTCTTTACAAATATTAAATATTCTAGATATTTAATCAAAGCCACTGGATATCGATGTAAATATTCTACTATAAAATCAGGTCGCAGTCTTTCAGTTACAGGTTCAGATGATGGACGATTTGTAAAAATCTATTTAGACATAAAATATCATATAATTAATTTTATTACAACATGTAACTTAAATAATGTATTGCATTAGGATTAATTCATATGCTTTTAGCCTTATACATATTAGAAATAACAGAAATTGATTTAAAAATTTTGTAAATACATATTATATAAATTTTCTTTAAAAGATCATTAAAAAAAACTTACATTTCACATGACATCTCATCATGGGGTTGGTGCTCCAAGAAATATAAAAATTATATTCTATTCTAACCAATGAACAATTTTGTAAAGCAAAGTAGTTTTAATATATTAAAAACTAATGCTCAATTTCATATAAGATTTTTATCTAAACTTTAAATTTATTAAATCTGTTTGGCCTTAAATGTTCCCTGATTAGCTCAGAAACAGGCTATGATTTTTTACATTTCTCAGTACACTAAATGCCTGATGAAGAAGTCATAAGTAATGTGAAACCTTTTTTTGGTTTTTATGATCCTATGATTTTTCAATAAAATTTTACATTACGGCATCACTCTTTCAGTTTTCACTTTTCAGTTTCATGATTATATTTTGACTACACTGTTAATTTTTTATTACTTTTTGATTGCTATTTCAGTGGCATATGAATTTAAAATTTCAAATACTTAATATTATTTTATATATGTGTTTATGTGTGTCTGTGTCTATAACTATGTGTATGCATACATGTAATAATAATTTAGTGTAGGAACATAAAACATGATGATAATCCATACATTTTTTGGTGATTATTTATTCTAATAACAGGTAGCCATGGATATTTACAGATTTCCTTATATTTCATGACATTTTAAAACCCAATTAAACAATAGATGAGCTTAGAGATGAGTAAATTTGTTGCTCCACAATTTTAAGTTTACATTTCACATAATTATAGGTGGCAACGGGGGGGGGAAGAGAATACAGCATGTCATCAGCACACAAGCAAACATGAGGACAGTGAAGATTATACGACAAATATAAAAGCATGGTATATTAATACTTCTCAGAGAGGCATAGTATCGCTCAATTGCTATTTCTGAGCTAAAAACTTTTGATTTGAATGCTCTTCTATATACATTATTCACTAAAAGAGCTCCATTTCACTTTTACAATTATGTAAATATGCACATTATGTACCATATATAAGAATCATACGACAAGGATTAATCTTGAAATAACACTCACAAAATGATTTATTATAAGTTAAAAGTTTAAATTTTCTTACATTCTTACATACATCTTATGCATATATATGTGTGAACCTAATTTAATTTATTGCACATAATTTGGTATTAGATGAGTGCTTGCCTAGGGAAGACACCAATCATTCTGCAGTTGTGAGTGGATTGAAGTTAGATCATTAAAATTTTGAGTACACAGTAGATGCCAGGAAGTTATGAAGAATTATAAAATCACTTGATAATCCATATATTGTTACTACTTGTTGATTGCTTCATAGTATGGTACGTAACAATGAGGACAATCTGCACCCCACAAATTTGATGATACATTCATTACATTTTAAAAAGAAGCAACCAAGCAAAAGACATCCTTTAGTTAAGGCTAAGATGGCATAATGGGGAGAATTAATTTTCAGATATGATATAGTTTCGAAAAAGTTATAACTATTATTAGAATAGAGAGGGGGAAGTGCCCAAACCAAAAAGAGGCTATTGCTAATTTAATATACATTTCAGAGTTATATATTTTTTATCTTACACACACACACACACACACACACACACACACACACACACACACATAGATATATACTATAAGCTAAAAACATGTAACTCTGAATCACAATGTTATATTTTATTCTTTTTTCTAAGTGTTTTGAAAGCATGTAGGGAAAATTCTGGTACATTTGAGATTCGTTTTCTCGATTTTATGTGAATTTTAATGTCTTAAATGAAAATATAATTGAATCTTTTTTCTGGTTTTTGATCTCAAATAAATCAGGAGAACGAAATATATTAATCGACTTTTATGAAGCTTTAATTCATTTTACCCTGATGTGTTCTGAATTGTAGTTTCAGTAGCAGGTGATCAATTCTTATATTTGTATAATTGTGTATATTTTGCCTTTCACATTTTTATTTTTCAAGTTTGTTATACAGTCAAAAGTCTTTAATCCGCACTCGTCGGGACTTCGGCGATTCCGGATTATAGATCATCAGTTTAAATCTGGTAAGATGGCATGCAGAAATTATAAAATTAAAAATATGAAACTGTAATTTATAAAATAATGAGCAATTATGATCTAAAGGGTATCAAAATTTACAAAAAAAGAAGCTTAATATTTATTTGTTTACTTTATTAAACATTTCTTTCAACGCGTGCATGCGTACCTTACGCATAGCCGAAATTAGAAAATTGCAACCAGAAAACTATTTGATTTGTATTCGTGATATTTATAATGACGAGGAATTTGATTTAAATCATATCAAAGACGGAGTACATCGAGATTAAATACTACATTTAGTAAGGAATTATAAGCCGAATAAAATAAAAACATCTGCCCTGAAGATAACGATAGTGGTGACAGATCAACTTCCAGTTCATTGCGCGCCGCTACGTCCCCCCCCTCCGCGCAGAGCAGCGTGAAATTGATAAACAGATTTCGGAATGGTTAGATAAACAAAGGATATACCTTTATCCATTTTTTGTAGCAATTCGTTTTTTGTTTGATGGACATTGAATAATACTTTCGTTTTCTAGATCCTTTGGGAGCTCCAGCATCGGAGATTCTATTTGACATAATTGAAAGTTCAAGCCTACTTTTATAAAATTGCTCTTACAGTCTGCAAAAAATAATAAGCTGGATCTAATTTGAAGATTAAGGAACAACGCAATCATCAACATTAACTGAAATAGATATTAGATAATTTTAGCTTATACCGTCCGTTATACATTAAACGCGCACGCGAAAACGTATTCTGCGCTTGCGCAGACGCATCTGCGCAGTTGTAAATGTCTTGTGCACACGCATAAAACGCCTATGAGCATGCGTCAACGCGGCGCATGCACAGAAAGATTTTAGCTTTGAGGTCCGGATTACAGATCATTCCGGATTATGGGTGTCCGAATTAACGACTTTTGACTGTACTATGAATTCTTATTTTAATTTTGATTTGTTTAGATACTGTGTCAAACCTTTTATACACGGTTGCAATTATTAATAATATTTTTAAGGAATAGCCTTGCTTTGATTCCAATTTAATATTAACTTTAGACGCTTTAAATATATATATATATGAGGGGTGTTCAACATCCCTCTATTTTGATGATGCATTACATTTTAAATAGAAGTAGCCCGGCAATATCCATCTTTTAGTTACCATGCACACACAGAGAAAGCGTAGTTAACGTTAAGATGGCATAATGAGGGAATAAATTTTTCAGATATGATGCAGTTTTGAAAAAGTTATAACTGTTATCAGAATAGACAGAAGGAAGTGCCCAAACCAAAAAGAAGAATTAAGGATCTAACTTAAAGTACAATTCAAAGCCACATATTTTTTATCATATCATATATATATATATATATCTGAGTCTGACAGGTCTTGTCCCGGGTCATCATTCAAAACACTCCCTACCTTCACAAAAATGGGCACTCCACTTTCTCACTGACTTGTCGGACACACAGCCTCCCTCATACATGGCTATGAATATTGGCCAGTTTAACCCCTTCTGCAGTCAGGAATCTCATAATACCTCACTGCTTCTCAATCGTTGAATTTTGCAATATGAACACCATTCACACACATTGCCATGTCAACTGGACGGAACACATACCTGCCTCCTTTTCTCCTGTATTATGTGTGGGCAATCGCGCATGCACATTACCACACTAGATACTACATTCACATCCCTACATGTCCAATTATGTTATCCCAAAGCAGCATATTCAGATTTCAACAGGTTTGATTGTTACAGTGTTTCATATTTTTTCATTTAGAAAACCCTCATATACATGTATATGCATAATTTAAGGAATATGCAAGATAAACACATATACATGCACATACAAATACAAACATAGTATACAAGACAAACAATATGATTATGAGCTTTACTTTCTCAAACAATGATCTCAAAAATGAACACTAGTGTTCAAAGTTAATGAGGTTTTCATGTTGTGCAGTGCCACCATTTCAAAAGAACTCGTAACTAACTAATATTCACTTCATAATGTATGATTCAGGTTATTCAATTATTTATAATGTAAAATATATTAATCATTATATACAAATTCTTAATTTGACATTAAGTTAATTTCATTTTGTAATTTTCTCAGAATTTTATACTGAGAAATTCCCAAATCGGAAAGGAAAGCTTTTATGCCTCAAAGTATTTTTAAATAAGATAAAAATTAAAATTTAAAACATAAATCTGAAAAGGTTCAGATTTTAATCGTCACCCAAAAGCGCTCTTTTAAAGTTTAATACGATTTATGAGTAGAGTCTGTCAATTATCTATTGATGTGGAACAGCAAAATATTTTATAAGATACTAGACAAATATACATTTAGACTAACATAGGAGTGTTTTATGTGTTCTGTATATAATTTGAAAAGAGAAAAAATATGAAAAGAGTATATATTTTAATGGTCACACAAAAGTGTTTGTTAAGGTTTTTTATGCTCTCACTGAAATTGTAGTCTACCAGTCTGCTCTTGCACTGAACATTGGTAATTTTTTTTATTTTCAGCTTTATTATTAAGCATCATTTTCTTCCCACTGGTGCCATATACAATTCAACAGCAAAATCAAATATTTGAAAGCAGTATATCTTTAGAATAAGAGTCTTGTGTGCTGGAGATAAAAAAGTTTTATTCTATAGAGTGTTGCCACTGCTCGCTTTCAAATCACTGGGTTTTGTAATAAAAAAATGCATTAAAAGTTTTACAAAACATGACATAGATAATAAAACGAATTCAAAATTCAGGCTTTTGGTTACATGTTTGGGCTAAGGACTATGTTATTTCAAAATTT